CGACACACCCCGCCGATAATCCTTTTGGCGGTACGAGTCTGAGACTTGTCGGCTGTCCAGAGGCCGATAGGACTATCGGTCAGCGGAAATCCGACACCCCCCGCCGAGGGCCGTTTGTGGTACGGCGTCAGAGGCATGTCGGCTCTCCAGACGCCGATAGGCCTATCGGTCAGCGGATAGCCGATACCACCCGCCGATAGGCCGTTTGCGGTACGCGTCAGAGACTTGTCGGCTCTCCAGAGGCCGATAGGACTATCGGTCAGCGGATAGCCGACACACCCCGTTGATAGGCTGAGTCAGAGACTTGTCGGCTCTCCAGAGACCGATAAGTGCCCCTACTAGATTTGCAGTTCTTACTAATCAAATACTACATTTGCAACTAATCATTAAAAAATATTATTTAAAAAAATCCACAATAAGCTAGCTACTTGCCAGCAGCTACTGTAGCTTGTACTAGGTGGCTGCACTGAATCCCTCCGCGTGGCTGCGAAACTTGAATGCCTTGCGTAGGATGCAGGTCGATCGCCGCCGGCCGGCTGGTCATCGCTAGCTCGGGCACTAGCACGTACTGCAGGTTAATTGCATTCTGTGGTGTGATGTTGGCCACGGCAGCAGAAACGACAGTGTCGTCGACACGGGCAGGCAGCAAGAGGCGGCGGCGATATGGCCGGCGGGCGATCGACTTGTGATTGGAGAACACCATGCATGATCCATCTGGTTGTCGCGAATTAATTAATCAGCAGGTGCAGGCCAGCTTGTACCAATGCAACAAACATTGTCGTATGCCTCTGCAATCTGCAGGCACTACGATCCATAAGGAATTCAGGCCGGATGCACGTAGCCGTACAACGTGCTCTGTGTTTACTGTTTATGCATGCATCGACAAATGTGCGCGTGGCAAATAGCAATGATCAGTCAGGTTTACTTCTGTGTACTAGCGAGCTATTAGCTCGTAATTATTATTTTATACAGACACATGCATGCAGCAGGGTGCCCTGAAGATCGATATAATTAATGGACGAGACCTTGATCTGCATGGATCGATCAGCTTTATTACAGAAAAATGATTAAAACTTAAAAGCAAGCTGCAGCGTGGATCGATCATGGTAGCAGGCACACGTCATATTTGCATTAATCTCCTGCATGCTGTGGGGCCTGAGCAGCGCAAGCAAATGCGCAGTTCGTTGTCGATGCATGCAACCGCTGCACGAGTTTATATAACAGCAAAATGTACTGACCACATACTGATCCCATGTTTTTCTTACACAAATTTTACGGGGAGGCGCTTGAAAAAAACAAATAAGAGTCATCCATTCGGATAAATCTAACAGTTATAAAATAGGAACTACTTCCAAATTTAATTCCAAAGTATAACAGTACTTTCACGTCGCATGATATGCCCCAACCCACTCAAGCCAGCGATTCTAGTTATAAGGAAGAGTCTTTAATGGCATGTTAGAACCAAGACAGAGATTCAGTGTTCTGGTTATTTGAGCATCAGCACCACAGCGCCGCCTTTTTGTGTGGATTGTGTAGAATGCTTTTGCATCAATTAGCATGCTTGACCATGCTCTATGGGTCACATTTCTCTCCTGTTAGCTCCTACTGCAGTGCCGTTAAAATGTTTTTTATTCCAAAAGGACGGCAAAAGTTTTGCCACGATTTTATTAGAAGCAGAAAATAAAACAAACGCTGGTCTAAGTTTTTGAGTGCAAATCGGACCAAAAAATGCCGCTAAAATGCAGCTGAAGTGTTTCTCGGGCCACTAACCATAGATGCTAAAGTATGGCTAAAGTACGTGGTAGCACCTATCACCTATGTGTCATATTTTCACATTGTAACTACGATACCCATCCGGATGCGGCTCATTCTCATCCACTCATGCACTCTCTCTCAACAACATATATCCACTGCGCTTATCCGCTCATCCGCTCGTCACGGCGTGAGTGCGTGGACACACATCTGTCCTCCCCGCTCCGCCCTGCCATGCCCCCTTCCACCACTACGCGCTCATCGAATGTCGCGCCATGCCCCGCGCCCCATCGCCGGCAGCGCCGCATCTCGTCCCAGACACTCCGCTCGCTCCATCGCCGTCCGTCCGCACTACTACACAAATGATTTTGCAAGACGGTGCCTTTTTATTAACGGAGGCGGTCACAAAATCCAACCACCTCGGTTAATGCCTGTGATTAACGGAGGCGGGCATTTTTTATTTATCGAGACGGGCACTTTTAGCCGCCTCCTAAAATCGATTTACGGAGGCGGGCGTTTTAAGGCAACCGCCTCCAAAAATCCTCTATTTTTGGAGGCGGTCATCTTAAAGAAACCGCCTCCAAAAATAGTGACCCAGTTCCCAGCCCAAGCAAAAGCCCACGTCTATCCTCCCCCAGGCTCATATATAAGCGACACCTAGAGTTACGCTCTCCTAGAGCCGCTCCCCTCCCGCACTCCGTCTCCCTCGGCGCCACGCCTGACCCCTCACCCTCCCTCTCCTCTCGATGCCCTCACTCTCCCTCTCCCTCTCTCCGACCCTCACAGCGGCGCCCCTCTCCCTCCCTCCCTCCTGAAGGTGGCACCTCTCGTGCGGCCCCTGCAGCAGCACTCCCACGAGGAGGCGGCGGGATCCGGCGCTCCCTTGGTGCAGTGATGCTCCCCTACGAGCGACCGGCAAGATCTGGCCTGAGGAGGTGGCGGCACGGAGCAAGGCGGCTCTCCTCCGACGCGGGCGTCCCCGGGCAGGGGCGGCGCGGGAAAGCGCGGATCTCCTCCTCCGGGGCGGATCCGCTCCCCGTGCCCTCTCTCCCTCCCTTCTCCGGCGGATCTGGTGAACAGCGGCGGCGGAGTGTGGATATGGGCTTGGGAGCGGCGGATCCGGCACCGGTGCAGCGGATCCGGCGAGCGGTGGCGGCGGATGTGGGATTCCGGCAAGCTGCGACCGCGCACGCGCGATGGGCTCGGCAGGCTTCGCGATGGGCTCACTGGATTTTTTTATTTTTTTAATCAATTAACCGAGGCGGGCATTCCAACCGCCTCGGTAGTTCTTTGATTAACCGAGGCCTTTAATTGGAGGCGGGTGGAATGCCCGCCTCGGTTAACTGTTTCGACCACCTCCAAAAAGTTATCTGTAGTAGTGTCGTCCGTCCCCCATCGCCGTCGTGCGCACCGCTGACCCCGCCACGTCTGCTGTGGCGCACACAATGTTTTCCTAAATGGTAAACGGACTTTACACGGTCACCCTTCGTTTAGCGTTTAGCCTGTTTACACGGTGTTTAAACGAAGTTAAACGGTTTTGTACTTTTAAAAAAAATACATATAATTATATATGTGCACGTAAAAAATCAAGTATTCTAGCATTTATACATATTTATCCAAGTAAAAATTAATTATTTTTGTATGTATATATATTTATGCATGTGAAAAGAACCAAATATAAATATTTATGCATGTAACATATCAAGTGTACACATTTATAAATATAATAAACTTAAGTATACAATTTATCCATACAAAACTGAACTAGATTTACCTCGTGTTCGCCTAAACAGCCGTTTAAACAGCTGTTTAGCTCATTTAATGCTGTTTATCTCCGTTCCGTTTAGGTCGTTTAGACCGTTTTTCCCGTTTTTTGACCGTTTAAACGGTCAATCGTTTAATTTCTGTTTACCCCCTAAACAAAACAGTTTACCACCGTTTATCGTTTACTGGCCGTTTAAACGGTCGTTTAATCCGTTTAGGCGAACACTGGGCGCACATGCCGTGGCGTCTTAGGTTTTCCCAGCCGAGCCAAGGGCACCCACGAGCACGGCCGGTGCTGGTGGTGCTCGCGCGCCGCGGCTCGCTGCCGGCTCCCACCCCGACAGCCGGAATCGATCGGCCCTGCCCTTTCCCTCCCGTATATTGCATATGTATGTTTCAAGTGTTTCAGACGTTTCAGATGTATGTTGCAATTGTTTTATCTTGGCATTGCCAAACTAGATCGGGGATGTTGCACATGTTGCAAGTGTTTCAGAGGCATGTTGCAAGCGTTTGTTCAAAATGTTTTCTCTGTTCCCAGACGTATGTTGCAATCACTTTTTATCTAGATGTTGCACATGTTTCACAAATATGTTGCAACAGTATGTTCCAAATGTGTCAGTTGTTTCAGTCTTATGTTGTAACAAGAGGTTTCATGTTGCAAGTTGCAAGTGTTTTATTTTAATGTTTCATGTGTTTCACACACATGTTGCAAGCGCATGTTCTAAATGTTTCTTTTGTTTTCAAACGTATGTTGCATTCAAATGTTTTTTCATGTTGCAAGTGTTTTATGTTGTTCGATCGGGGCTGAACCGGGGGCTGGCGAATGGAGGTGCGGTCAGGGCGCGCTGGGGGCGTGCTCGTGCTCGTCCTCAGCCGCTCATCCCGGCTCCCGACTGCCGCCCACGCGGAGAAAGAGAGAAAGAGAGAGAGGAAGGGGTCAAGGGAAGGACCAGCGGGCGCAGAAATAGGGTGGAGTGCGCGCGTGGGGCGGGGCGAAGGCGGATAGGAGCGGGCTGCGGGGGCGTCTGGTCACACATGTCCGTTCGGACGTCCGGACGCTAGCCGTGCCGTTTTAACTAAAACATTTGCTCTGTGTGTCCATTTTAGCTATAGCTAAAACAAAAAAAAAAGGTGCTACTGTAACTAGTCTGTAAGCGTGTATTAACGTGTATGCTTGGATTCGCTCAACCATGCAATTACTGGAACACAGGTATGCAGACCCACACGAAATTTTGTAGTTTTCTTCATGAGAAGAAGCCTTCTCAAACAAAAGCAAAACACGTGGAAAAATCAAAGAAGAAACCCAAGCTCGCGTACGTACACTGTATATACCACGCACACTGCACACACACACAAATGACTGGACCGGCCGAGACAGCATGCACGCATGCAAAAGGTCGATCAATCTCAATCACAATCCGTCGGCGCCAGCTCAAATCAAGCCAAATCACCCTCCGATCGATCCAACGCATGCTTCAGGCTGATCATGGGTCGTCGTCCTGGGGCAGCAGGTCGTGCGTGCGAGCGGCCGCCATGAAGCAGCACTCGTACTTGAGCACAGCGAGCGGGCCGACCCAGTACACCCCCGTGGCGACGGCGGGCCCGAACGACCTGGCCCGGTTCATGGGCGCGCCGGACAGGACGGCACCGGCGACGGAGTTGGCCCCGACGAGGAGGCCGGTGAGCAGCGGGCCGGCGCCCGGGTGCAGCTTCCGCGGGTCGAGGATGGTGGCGTAGACGACGAAGAGGAGGCTGAAGGTGAAGACGGTCTCCGCCACCACGCCCTGCACGGGGCCCACGCCCTCCGCCAGCGCGTGCAGCGGGGTGGCTAGCCCGCCGGTGAGCCACCTGAGCAGAAAGCACGCCGCGGAGGAGCCCAGCATCTGGTCGAAGTCGGAGTTTTGCATGTGCATCATGCATGCAACTAAGACCCGCGATCCATATTGTGAGACAAAACACAGTTACAACTGGGGTAGTACGTACGATGACAGTGTGGCACTAGTACATATGGGGGCCAACCGGCCAAGTTTGGGTGTTATCACACCATGTATTTCATTTTCATGTAAAATATGTTTTAGAGCTTGTTAGGATGCACTTGCGTCACATCAATCCACTTCAAATTGAGGCAGATACAAGTGCATCCAAACAAGCTCTATGTGGTGAATGTAACTGTTCATGTTTGATCTAAGTGCATCCAAACAAGCTTTTTGTGGTGAAGGTAACTGTTCATGTTTGATCTAGAATGCAATGCTACTGGGTATGGTTTTTATGGACTAATATGTCCACAATACTTATGGATAGACCGGATCAAACATTAGGTCTCGTAAGGTTCAGGTTGAGGCACGAAAAATGGTTGAGGTCGAGTATGACTATTCCTCGGATTCCCCCCCTTTGGGGTCAGGTTTTTTGGGTTGGGCCACGATCCAAAATCATGGCCCAAACTGACATGATGCGCTAGTGGATCAGACCAGATATTGGATTTTTTTCAGTCAGGTCGCGTTGGTTGGGTGGGGTGGCCCATGAATAGGTCTACTTAGGTAGTTGCTATATTTCACATGCATAAATTTTTAGGCAACAATCTTAATTATATTACACAATCATTTAGCATATAACTATAATTAAAATGACATCTCACAAGCGACAATTCATAGTTTTTTTTCTATAGCCAAACAATAACAAAATTGCATATTGCCTAAAAAAACAAAAATCAAGAACCTATGATATAGGAGAAGTATAGATTGCCTTTTCACTCAGTTCTGGACGTTCTAAGGAGAGGCAAAGAGAGAGCACCTCCGGCGAGCTTTGGGGCCTGCAGTGATTGGCCCAAAACTTTGGAACTATAATTAAAATGACATCTCACAAGCGACAATTCATAGTTTTTTTTCTATAGCCAAACAATAACAAAATTGCATATTGCCTAAAAAACAACAAAAATCAAGAACCTATGATATAGGAGAAGTGTGGTTTATAGATTCCCTTTTCACTCAGTTCTGGACATTCTAAGGAGAGGAAGAGAGAGCACCTCCCACGGACTTTGGGGCCTGCAGTGATTGGCCCAAAACTTTGGAACCCACGACACTTTGAATTAGTTAGTACTATAATTGAGATAGGCATAAAGAACATGTACATCAAAATTATTGAGGTGTTTTCTTTCATATACGTTGTGAACTGAAAATTGGACGATTTCAGGGGAGAACTAAGGCTCCATTTAGTAGGGCTCTTTTCTGGCTCCAGCTCAATCCTGTGGAGGAGCCCTATCATACGATTTAGTACCAAGAGTCATTTGGCGCTGGTTTTCAGTAAAAAAAAAGAGTAGTCGGAGGCCGTTTTAGAGGAAGGCTCCTCCAAAACAGCTCCTACTCCTCCGAACGAGCCCTACTAAACAATGTCTAAACATACCCCGTGCAAATAGTGAATATAAACATATAGGAAAAGTTATAGCTAGTAAGTACAAGAATATATAATGATTTCTTGGAATACGTATAGTCGTATAGCTATCAACAATTTGGAACAAAGTTTTGTGCCGCACAAACATATTTATGTATACAGTACTGATAGAAATGGTATTATTAATATTCATAGAAATCCAGACCGGGTCAGAAATGTCAGACCATACCTTTCTGAACAGTGGGTTTTGCTTGTTGCTGCTGCAGATATCCCAGTCGGGAAAGCCGTGTACATTCCCAAGCGGAGTTGTGTATTTTTTACATGTATCCTCTCAGTTCTTTTTTACATTTCCTAGTAGATTTGTCATAAATCAAATACTTGTATCTTTAACTATCAAACTTTAAAAAATGATGTCATTTCACGACAAATAAATTATATATATTATGAAAGTATTTGTCATAATTAGTATGCATTTTTTTTGAAATTGATGATTAAAATTAGAAATGTTTGAGTTACTATAAAACTAATAACACGTAAACAGAGGGAGTACGTACTTGTACCTTGTAGTACGTGATAGAGACGTGTTTAACTAGATTCTTTGTGTGTAGGCCCGACAGGTAACGCGGAGGTGTACCTAGGTAGACCACTGTACAAATCCTAGTACGCAGTAAGTAAATAAATAAATGGAATTAAAGGGCGAGATGGATGAAGCTAAACGACAGCTAGTGGTTTGAGCTTCAGTGCTTCACTGTGCCGCTGTTAAAACCTCTGCTCTGCTCTTCTTCGCTGAAGAAATAAAGGCCAAGGCAATCTACCACTACCCGTACACACTCCAGTGTCATGTAGATGACGACGTGTAGTACGGAGTACACGAGAGCGATGGCATGCATGCATCCATGTGCTGTAGCTGCAGCCTGCACTGCGTGCGGATAGGCCTATCAGTCAGTGGATAGCCGACACCCCCCGCCGATAGGCCTTTTGCGGTACGAGTCATAGACTTGTCGGTTCTCCATTGGCCGATAGGTGTCCCTACTAGATTTGCAGCTCTTTCTAATGAAATACTACATTTGCACCTAATCATTAAAAAATATTATTTAAAAAAAATTCCACAATAAGCTAGCTACTTGCCCGTAGCTACTGTAGCTTGTACTAGGTGACTGAACTGAATCCCTCCGCGTGGCTGCGAAACTTGAATGCCTTGTGCAGGATGCAGGTCGATCGCCGCGGATGTGGGATTCCAGCAAGCTGCGGCGGCGCACGATGGGTTCGACGGGCTTGTCGATAGGCACGCTGGTTTTTGTTTTATTTTTTTAATTAATTAACTGAGACGGACATTACAACCGTCTTGGTAGTTTTTTGATTAACCGAGGCCTTTAATTGGAGGCGAGTGAAATGCCCGCCTCGGTTAACTGTTTTGGCCACCTCCAAAAAGTTATCTGTAGTAGTGTCGTCCGTCCCCCATCGCCGTTGCGCGCGCCGCTGACCCCGCCACGTCCGCTGTGGCGCACGTGTCGTGGCGCCTTAAGTTTTCCCCAGCTGAGCCAAGGGCACCCACGAGCACGGCCGGTGCTGGTGGTGCTTGCGCACTGCGGCTCGCTGCCGGCTCCCACCCCGACGGCCGGAATCGACCGGCCCTGCCCTTCCCCTCCCGTATATTGCATATGTGTATTTCAAGTGTTTTAGACATTTCAGATGTATGTTGTAATTGTTTTATTTTGATGTTGCCAAACTAGATCAGGGATGTTGCACATGTTGCAAGTGTTTCAGAGGCATGTTGCAAGCGTTTGTTCAAAATATTTCATCTGTTTTCAGACGTATATTGCAATCGTTTTTTATCTAGATGTTGCACATGTTTCACAAATATGTTGCAACAGTATGTTCCAAATGTGTCAGTTGTTTCAGTCTTATGTTGTAACAAGTGGTTTCATGTTGCAAGTTGCAAGTGTTTTATTTGAATGTTTCATGTGTTTCACACACATGTTGCAAGCGCATGTTCTAAATGTTTCTTTTGTTTTCAAACGTATGTTGCATTCAAATGTTTTTCATGTTACAAGTGTTTTATGTTGTTCGATCGGGGCTGAACTGGGGGCTGGCCGGTGGAGGTGCGGTCAGGGTGCGTGCTCGTGCTCGTCCTCAGCCGCTCATCCCGGCTCCCGAGTGCCGCCCACGCGGAGAAAGAGAGAGGAAGGGGTCAAGGGAAGGACCAGCGGGCGCAGAAATAGGGTGGAGTGCGCGCGTAGGGCAGGGCGAAGGCGGACAGAGGCAGGGCGAAGGCGGATAGGGGTGGGCTGCAGGGGCGTCCGGTCACAGACTAGGTACATGTCCGTCCGGACGTTAGCCATGCCGTTTTAACTAAAACATTTGCTCTGTGTGTCCATTTTAGCTATAGCTAAAACCAAAAAAAAAGTGCTACTGTAACTAGTCTGTAAGCGTGTATTAACGTGTATGCTTGGGTTCGCTCAACCATGCAATTACTGGAACACAGGTATGCAGACCCACACGAAATTTTGTAGTTTTCTTCATGAGAAGAAGCCTTCTCAAACAAAAGCAAAACATGTGGAAAAATCAAAGAAACCCAAGCTCGCGTACGTACACTGTATATACCACGCACACTGCACGCACACACAAATGACTGGACTGGCCGAGACAGCATGCACGCGCCGGACAGGACGGCGCCGGCGACGGAGTTGGCCCCGACGAGGAGGCCGGTGAGCAGCGGGCCGGCGCCCGGGTGCAGCTTCCGCGGGTCGAGGATGGTGGCGTAGATGACGAAGAGGAGGCTGAAGGTGAAGACGGTCTCCGCCACCACGCCCTGCACGGGGCCCACGCCCTCCGCCAGCGCGTGCATCGGGGTGGCCAGCCCGCCGGTGAGCCACCTGAGCAGGAAGCACGCCGCGGAGGAGCCCAGCATCTGTGCGGCGATGTACAGGGAGGAACGGAACAGCGTGATGTGGCCACCAACGGCCAGCGACAGCGTCACGGCCGGGTTGAAGCTGATTTTGTTGATTTGTTCTGACACGGAGGCTGTGGGGCTGTTCACCTCCCTCTCCCTGTCCCCATTGGCGAATCGTGGCTTCCCGCTGATCCTACTGATACTCTCCTGGGCAACGTCAATGAACCAGTCGTCGCTTGGAAGGACCCTGCACACATTAAGCGACCACATCAGTTTCAGTTTCAAGGTTACTGTGCGTCCGTGCCTTACAACGCAATGCTGCATAGCTTCTACAGAGAGTAGTCGACAAAAGAAATTTTTGAGCACAAAAAGGATGAAACTGATATGAACCAAGAAAAAACTGATACCTATCAGGGTCCATCCCCGTAGCAGAAAACGCTCTCATCGCTCTATCAATGATCCCCAATATGACTTGATGCACATGCCGAGATAAGAAATGCCCTTGCCCAAAAAAGATGACAAACTGCATATCCAGGTAGAACTGAAAAGGAAGGTAAAGTAAAAGGGAATGTTAGCTGTCATGCGAAGGCCTGGGAGGTTTTGCAAACTGAAATGGAGAAAACACACGCGCGCGAAGTTGAAAAAGGAGATTACCTGCTGAAGTCCAAGTGGACCCAGAGCCCTTGGTCCTTCTTCAATCTCTTCCCAAAAGCTCTGGTCGTCTGAGAGCCAAAGCATGACTGTCTCCGTAAGTCTCATCATAAGCAGCGTAGCAAACCTTTCCCTACCAACAAAAATTTCTGTTGCAGCGCTTGCCATCTTATTTAATTTTGCATACAATTCCTGCAATGAACTACAGGTGAGATACGCAGAAGACGAGAGTTTCTTGGGAAATTTTGGAAGGAGCAACATGCGACAAATCAATTTCCATGACTTGTCATCACAGGCCAAAAAATATGGAAATACCTGGAAAATCGGCGATGGAACCCATTCTGGATCTTCAACAGTATTATCCATATTGATGTACATTTCTGCACTCAGATGGGTGTCACCTTCTTCTGTGAATATAAGATCTAAAGCATGCTGTCTGCAGAAACTATATCTAAGTTTGTCTACCATGCGGTGCAGCTTCCTTTTCCATTATCGTTGCTCTGCCGCACGATTTTGTTTTTCAGGACCTCTTCTACGCAAGCTATCCATGATGACTGGGTTCATAGAGTACAGCTTCATAGCTGCTCTCGGTAGCAACTCTTCAGCTAGTAAAGATGCATTAGCTAACAAAGCTAACTGTTGGTCCTCTGTCTCTGCCATTCTAACAATCTTATTCCCTAAACCTTCCAAGTTAACTTCATCATCCACTGACCCTGGTAGAGCACTTATGAGCAAGTCTACATACGAGTTGAATATTTTCAGAAGCCCATCCATCGCGGAACCACCTAGTTGTAAGCTAATCAGTGGTCCAACATCCTCAAAGAAATCCTGCATTTCAAAGTAACATTGAAATAATAATAAGCAAATAAATGTACTGTGTCTCAGAGTAAAATGGAAATAAACCATACATGTTGCATAAAAAATGTACAAAGGCTAATTAATAGTATGTCTACAAAAAAAATGGCATCTGCATCTTGAAGTCCGCACCTCACATAGTTAAAGTTAATGGGGTAAAAAAAGGAAACCTATAAGTTTGAAAACAGCCGATACTCCCTCCTTTTTGTATATATGATGTTAGGACAAGGTAGTTAGTTCAAAAATGCATCATATATTTGAAAATGGAGAGTAATAACAGAGAAGCTGCAAAAAAAATTCTTAATTCAATGATACGCAGCTCTTGCGTGTTTGAGATAAGAGAGGCTGCAATTACAATTGTTGGAATCCTTTTTTTTTCATCTGCTCAAGCAGTGAACATTACCTGAACCATTGAATTGAAACGATGAGCCCTGCTTGAGAGCTTCGGCTGGAGTGCCAGATTACCAGCAGATGATCTAGCCAATGGACGTATACCAGTTGGAGGATAGGTGAGTACCCAGTCATCAGCTGCAGCTAAAGCAGCAGTACTCTCTTCAATTCTCCTCAAATTGGAATCTAATGCTTGCTCGACAGAGGGTCTGAATTGCTTCATCAGAACTGACGTAAGTGATAGACCACGAGCTTCCAGCAAGTCTGAATAACCAATTGCTATCTTAACACATTCCGCAGCAGCTCTTAAGCCCCCACCAGCAGCACAAGAGGCTAAAGCATGCCTCTTTACAAGCAGCGAAAATGACATTGCCTGCTTAGTAGCCCAAGTAACTAGTTCAGATGTGTATGCTGGTACGTCACCAAAGACTTCGGCTGAGTCGTTGAGAGCCTCAGCTATAACAGGAAAATTTTGTTGCGCAAGAGAAGCAGTGTATTCCCCGCCATATGACGTGCTAGATGGTTGTATTGTTTGCATGTTTAATTGAAGTCTCTGATTGTGTGCACTGAGCAACAAACTATGAGCACGCGGTCCATCACCAAGTCTCTTGAGAGCAGAAGCAGCAGCTCGAAGCTCAACGCCACAAATAGAAGACTGGCAAGCAGCTTCAGCTAGCTGATCAGCCAACTTCAGATGATTTTCAGATATAGCCCTCTTTAAAGCCAGAATGTCAGCTGTGGTTAGAGTTCCCTTCTGTTTGGCATCAGCAGCAATCCGTTCTGCTTCATCCAAGGCATCCAGTGCTTCATCCACTCTTCTTTCAGCTAGCAGAACATCAAGCATGTCAGGGAAATCTGTGGACCATTTCCATATTTCTGATGGCTCCTGATCTTCAACACTGGATATGTCTTGTTCAGCAGAACCTTCAGGCCCTATGGTCAATGAATCTATCTGAACCCCTTCGGACAGACCATGAATTAAAGCTGACTGTGTACTTAGCAAATTTCTAACTGATAGTAGCTCCCCTTCAAGGTCTGATATCTCCTTTGATGTTCTGTACCAGGAGACTAGTTTCAGAAATGCATTCCAAATTCCAAATTCATGAATTGGGCAGTGGAGAGGAAGAGTACATGAAGTAAATTTAAACAGAAATTATGTGGAAAACATGGTAGCTCGTGTTAAATTTATAGCTACCAATTTTGCAAGCCATACATTTCATGATTTCTAAAGACGGAAACAATATCTGGTTGTGAAGACGAAATGATAATTAGTGGATGGGCTTTTTGTTATCAAATATTTGCTGGTGGTTCTTGACAAATAGTAACTCAAATCACCAAGAAAAAATATCAATGGAGAAGTTGGAACATCCATGTTTCAAAGGTGGAGAAGAAATAAAGAAGCATAGATAGCCTGTAGTATCTATATAAAATCACCCAGAATATTTCTAAGCAATTTATTGGAAACTCCCACCAGTACAAATTTCATGTAGGTTGAAATGAACCGCTGTAAGGTTGTGGAGCTACGCAGGCAACAAGGGTCTAGGACTGCTACTGTTTAGTAGGTCGTAGACTGTAGAGTTGCTAATTGTTTCCATGTAAATCGCTATCTTGTATAACAGGGGTGGTGCAGGGCTCGGAAAGCTGAACCCCACACAAAATTGGGCAGGCGCAGCTTGCGCCACATAGGGACTTTGTAATTTATGCTCTTCTCTTATAAATGGAAGCTGATGACTCGGATCTTTTGAAGAAAAAAAAAAATGAACCACTGTGTTCTCACTTGATGAATGCAGCATAATTTGCATAAACACTTCTGCGCATCTCTTCAGCAGAAGCCTTCTTTAGATCTTGCAGGTAGGAACACAGGTGCCTTATTTCCTGTCATAAATGTTGAACATTACTCGTGTTTCAGCTTTCCAAGAATTTTGCAGATTTTTAACACAGTGATAGTTAAAGAAAAATGTTTCAGAAATACAAAGCAGTAAGAAAACATCAGAGTTCAAATGCATGAGCTTGCACAAAAAGTCATGTGGACTCTACAATCGCAAGAGTAAAAAGATCCTAAGCTAAAATATATTGCCAATTTAACCTAATTTAGTATAACACATCTTGTGTAGGGAAATATGTGTGCATTATGCCTAAAAGTAGGCTCTTGTCCCTGAATGCTGTGCATGTGAAGCTCCAACAAGAACTCGTAGTATGGAAGTTGCATTCCCTAATGGGGATGTGAACCAGTACAAATTTCTACATATTGTTGTGCTTCTGCTTTCAGGAAATGCTGGAAACTTGACCAGGAAACGAAAAGCTACAACAGTGTGTGCAAATAAAAGCATTAGGTTTCCAAAATTCAAGATTGCTGATTGACCTAGTGATAGACTGATAGTTGATCCCGCTCACTGCTAAAATGTGATAAGGCATCACTACTACCAAATGAATCAACTGAACTTAGCATGCAATTCTCTACTTATTGAATGTTTCATAGTCACATAAGAATTATCCAAAAGACACAGAAAAAGGGATGCATTTAAAAAAAAAATCCTCACAGCAACCTTTTGAAAATTGACAACAAGGGAAACAGAAGACTAGGACTAGGACTATGTGTCTCTCAGAATTCACTACCTAGGATACTAGGAAGAAATTTGGTAAAATTACTCTTAAAATGCTACAGGGTTCAAAGTTTCATTTGTTTCTTTCCTTTAACAATGGAAGGTTTCTTTTGAGCATATATGTGATCAGTTTCACTGACAGGGCCACCACAATTTCCACTCGAGTTTTCGTTTAAGATTTAGATTAGACAGAGGTATCATCAGAACACTAACGAAACTACATGCCCACATATAGAAGCCAAAAATAGCATCTCTACACACTCTGCTCCAGTGCTCTGTTTCCTCCATGCTCCAGCAAAAAGGCGCAGCACCAAAAATCTATCATCGAAACTAATTCCAGTCTACGCCGTGCAATAGTAATTTTGTTAGAAATTTTGCATATGTAACCTAAACCCAAAGCGATGTATACCAACAAAAATTTCTCAACAATTGAATCGTAATCACTCCAAATTCGCACTAAACTACTCCAAACGCGTCGAGAACCCCTGAACCCCGTGCCCTTCGCACTTTCGAGCGAAAGAAGACGCGACCCTTCCGCCACCACTGGAGGCAAACTTCCGGGGGCGGACGAGTTCCTCACCTTCTCGTCCATGGCGCGGCACTTGGACTGCACGTAGGCGTCGGGGTCGAAGTTGTCGGTCTTGAATATCTTGAGCTTGTCCGCGAGCTGCACCCCGCCGTCGCTGCTTCCCACGCCGGCCGCCGCGTTCACCGGGAACACTCCGGAGTGGCCGGCGGGCCGCGACCTCGACGACTTGGCGGCGGACGCCATCGAGCCGAGAGAGAAACCCTACCCGCAGCCGCAGGCGGAGAGCCCAGGCGTGCTCCCCTCCCCTCCCCGCCTCCGTTCCGAAGATCCAGAAGCTTCTCGGAGTGGATTTCTCGCTTGGCTGGTGCTCAACTCGGGCTCTCAGCTATTTCCGTGCCTCGATTGGCGTGAGCGGAGAATTTCAGGAGGGAAGGAACGGAAGAGAGGAGACTCGTGTTGGACGGTTGCCAAAGGTGGAAAGGTTGCCAGTTATTACTAGCTGTTCTGTTCATCAACTTATTTTGAGAATTTTTTATTTCATTTTTTATTACCAGAAGAGTGAAAGACAGAGAGGGGCACAGCAACTACGCAGAGGCTTAGTTTAGTTTTAAAAAGTTTTCTAAAAAGTGCTTTAGTAGCCATCACATCGAATTTTACGATACGTACATGGAGTATTAAATGTAGACGGAAAAAAAACTAATTGCACAGTTTGGTTAGAAATTACGAGACGAACGTTTTGAGCCTAATTAGTCTATGATTGAACACTAATTGCTAAATAAAAATGAAAGTACTACGCTAACCAAATTCTACAGCCTGAAAGTTACGAGTGACAGTTGTAGGGGTTGATTATTCAAGGAAAAGTGTCTGCGCTAGTTAAGCCCAGACTCTTTCAGAATATAGCTACTTTTACTTTTACATCGTTTAAAGTTCATCTTAGAATAGTATGGTTGTGTATGGATCGTTAGATATAATAATATAAAATTATTAAAAACAACTCTCCACATATCTTATAGAAGTTATTAGCTGGATTCTTTAATTATTGCGGCTTTTATAAAAGTTTATTAGAGGATACGGATAGAACCTGAGCTACTTCTGATTTTCCTAGGTGCCTTTGAATGTTGAAACGTCAAAACTACGCGTACGTTGGGGCACTGCTATAGTGCTACTCAATCCGCATCTGCACGTATGTTTAATTTGTGGGACATGCATGCATGTTTAATTTGGCAGAGTGCTGCCACCCGTATATGTAGCGGGACAAGATAAACGAAGGACAAATTTTTTTTTTCTAAAACTAGCTATATTCTAGGACAAATGGAGCAAATACTTCCTTGGACCGGGTACTTGACATTCACTTTGGATAAGCAAGTTGTCTTAGCTTGTTTTTCCCCTATAAAGTCACTCTTAGTTCAATTTTTGTGAGAGTTTCAATCTCAATCAATAACGTGTCACGTAGGATTGTTCCATTCATCAATCTAAACCTCTAAAAACTATGTGACACTTTCGAAAAAACACGTATCAAAACACCCCCAATGAAAATGGCCTCACACATCAACTAAATGGGCCTCACACATCAACTAAATGGGTATGACGTGTATAACGGGATATTCCTATCTCCAATAATTCGTAGAGGTAGAGTTAGGAATGTTAAGGTGAATAATTGAGTTTCTAGTTGAAACTAAAATTAGATAATTGAACCACTTTACTTTTTCCTACTAAATACTCCCTTCATCCCAAAATAATAACTTTTTAAGACTTATTAAAATTTGTCTAAAAAGTAACACTACATAAACATGGGACAATGCCTCCTAATACGAAAGTTAATCAGGGATACATGCAAAAGGTAACTGCCAAATCTATAAGATATCCTCTAGGAAAGAAAATGAGACGAGGGAACACATGTATTTTGCCATCGTCGTTACTCTGTCTAAAAAATATTAAAAAATATTGCATATATATATATATATATATGTGCGCGCGCGCGCGCGCTTAGAGCTGGGAATTGGAGTTTTGATCCATGTACTGCTAATATGTTTTATTCAAGGTCTTTTTACAAAAAAAAAAGGATTCATGTACTGCTATGTTAGTCATAGCTGTAGACAGTGGATCTTATTGTACACTCCGTTACGACATTGTAAAATGAGATCGTCATTGTCATATATGGTTCGTTGTATTATTATGTTGGAGGCTTGCATAGTTGCATTTGGGGGGTAGTAAATGGTTATAAAGCTTGTCAGTCCTAGTAGCCAAAACACACACACACATATGTCGATATATATTGAATGTCAATCTTCATCAATCCTTGTGTCAAAGCTTGCCCTTGTTTAGATACCCTCAAAATTCCAAGTTTTTTCACTCTCTCTTCATCACATCAATTTTTAGCCATTTGTATGGAGCATTAAATGTAGGTAAAAAAAATAACTAATTGCACAGTTTAGTTGGAAATTATGAGATGAATCTTTTGAGCTTAGTTGGTCTACGATTAGACAATATTTATCAAATAAGACGAAAGTGCTACTATTCATCAGGTTGAATTTTTTTTCAATCTAAACAAGGCCCTTGTTAATAAGTAGATAGAGTATACGAAAATGACAAAGATGAAGCTGTTTCTTTAGCATAAACAATCAAGGTTATTGTAGTTACATGCATGTTGCTTACACAAGCAAGAAGACGAACTAAAACTGAAAAGAAACCAAACCAAGCATACAATGTGCCAATGGATCAGAATCATCAGATTCAGAGAGACAGCTAGCTAGACAGTCTCTGGCCACCACATTAAAATCCCCAGGCTGGAAGGCCACAGCCACACAGCCCAACAGCTAGCTGGGAGTACAAAGCTGCGTCGCTGGTGCACCGTCAGCACAAGCCGACGACGTCTCACAACCCCCACAAAATTTAAAAAGCTACAAGAAGAAAAAAAAAAAGAGTACTCGTGTCCTTTAATTTGTTCATCTCCTTTAATGTCTCCGGGCTTTTCCTTCTAGTCCGTGCAGTAGTATCTCCATCCCCTGCCGCGCCGGCCGGCCGGCCATGAATGCACATGCACGCGCTGCGTTGCCGCGGCCGGCCCGTCAGGCCAGCAGGACCGCAACGGAGGCGAGCAGCGCCGACACGAGGTAGAAGAAGACCGCGCAGGGCTGCCTCCCGGCGCCGGCCGCCGTCGGCGCCGCGCTCGTGCTCTTCCCTGTCGCCGCGGCACCTGCAACACAAACCAACGCATGCGTGAGCGCGTGGAGAAAGTCTGAAAATGTTCAACCGTACCCCGTCCATACATGCATTCAGTGATGCAGAAAAGTGCACACATCATTTATTTAACAAACTTGCTAGCAATTTTCTTTTTTCTTGTCTCACGACAGCTGTTGTACTTGTACGGGCACGGCGGCTGTTAGTTGGTCACGTTCACGTACGTATGTTCCCAACTACGCGTGCACAGGTACGGTACGGTTGGGCGGACCACGGGCGGCCGCCGGCCGGCATTCAAGTGTCGTAATGCAACCGGAGCACGCTACTGGTAGTTTTCAGTAGCTTTCCCGCCATAATAACACGGCGGCATGGCACGTCGGGATAGCGTGGATCTTGGCATGTCGGCAAGTCCCGATCGTACCCCCGCGCGTCCCTGCTGCTACGGCCGGGACGGAACACACAGACGCAGACAGAAAGCTGATCGTTGGAGAGGGTTCCCGGCCGGTCAGGACAAAGGACTCATCAGGACCACGGAAATAAAACAAGGCAGCAACAGCAAGGGCTCTCAATTAATTCTCATGCGATTTTTGTACTAGCATTAGCAATTAGCATGGCGACACTGTTCAAAAAGACCATGCATGCAGACTGCAATTCCATATGGATGCTGCTAGGATTATGTTAGCTGGGAAATGAAGATTGAAGAGAGAAGATAGTCGATGGCAAGCAGTACGTACCGGCTGCAGCGGCAGGTATGGTGGTGCCGTTCTTGCCCTCGTGCGTCTTGGCGTACTCCTTGAAGATCTCCGCCTCGGGGGCGTCGGGCGACATCCCCAGAATCTCTGCAGGTTGCCATCGCAACCCAAAAGCAAGCACCGAGTGGTTAGTACATGAACAGCTAGTACAATTATAACGAACGTCAAATTTGACAGAGAACGTCAAATTTCTTGACACTGGCACGCACTGTCTCTCTGGATTTTCCTGACAGGTACTGTTAGTGTAGCACGTACATGGGCTGTTCTAACTTCCAGAAAGGTTGTGACCACCGGAGCAACGAACTGTGCACACGGCCCGACGACCTTGCCCATATATAGTTGGTGCGCATGCGATTGGCCGTGCAGCTGCATGTGGGCCCTAGCTAACTTTTGCCGTGCACAGCGAGGTACGCAGCGTAGGGTGTGCGCGTACGTGCCGGTGCAGTGCAGGTGCAGGAGCCACAGGAGGGCGTTCCGTTTCGACGTTCATTCGATATACGTACTTGGGCAGTCGGAGAAGGTGGCGGGGTTGCTGCAGAGCGAGGGCAGGTCCATGGCGCGGGTGACGTTGATCTTGAACCCGAGCGCCGGCTCGTCGCGGTCCTTGACCAGCACGCACATGCACATCTTGCTGGCGGCCACCACCTGCTTCAGCCCCGCGCAGCAGTCGGGCGTGGGCGCGCGCGCCGTCGCCTTGTCCTGCACGAACGTCAGGCACGTCGCCAGGCCCATCAGCTTGTCCGCGCACATGGCGCGGTCCTTGGCGAAGTCCGCGCGGGCCACGCCAGCGGCCGACGACAGCACGACGAAGGCCGACACCAGCGCCACCGCACCGCCGCCACGCGCGAAGAAGGCTGCTGCCGCCGCCATGTCGTCGGTCGTCTGTGCGTGCTACGGTGATAGTGCTGCAGGCGGGAGAGGAGGCAGGCGAGTGTGATACGGTATGGATGGGTGTGGGTGCTTTGCTCTGCCCCGGATTTATAGGCATGGCTCCGGCGCCCGCCGCGAGGTCGTCAGCAACAGCAGGGCTTCCTTGCGATGGCGTGGCGAGGCGGCCGGTGGCAGTACGAGTAGGAGTAGGAGTATTATTGATTGGTTGATGGGTCATGGGTGGTCCGGCCGTATGTATGCTTCCGATAGGTTGGTTGGGTGATCGCGTCGCGTGCGTGCGTTCGTGCGCAGCTCGTGGTCACGCCTCGCCGTCGCGACCTCCGGCCCTCCAGGCAGGGATCGGGCCGGGCGGGTGCCATGCCGCGCGACGTGTGGGCGCGAGGCAATGGATTGCCTGGTGTGCTCTGCTGTTGCTGGCAC